TTTCGGAACTTCCGCCGGCGATTGCGGCTGATTCCGGCGGGGTTGGAGGTCGTGCCGCATGTCGTTGAACTCAGCTCGTCGGGATCTTTCTATTGACACCGGCGGTGTCAAAAATGGAGGTCGGAATCTTAACTTGAGTATTTGGCCATTGATGGTTTGTGTGAGAGAGAACGTGAGAGGAGAGAGAGAATGAGCGAGAATAAGAGAAAGAAAGTGCAAGAACCCTAAAAATTTCACTATATAAAGTATCTGGTTAAGGCAAGATTACGTGCCTGATCTTTATTTCCTCAATTATTTACTACTTACAGATTAAATTTATACTGATTAGAGGTAATTAGTTTAGCTCACGTAAGTTAATCTACTACTTACAGTCCAATATCAATTTCTGAATAATTCAATAATGTTTTATATTCTTACTCGCGTAATATTTCAAACTGTTTCAAGTCTTGAAATTAATTTTAGACTGAACAAATTCTAAATTTTAATTTTCTGTATTCTATCCCAAGAATGACGTTTCTGACAGTGTCAACTCCCGAGCTCATATTGTATCCATCTACTATAGGTATTTATCTTGTGACTTTAACCTAACTGTCTAGCAATTAAGGATTTTTTTCCTCTTTTAAAATGCCAGTGCGTTTTTTTTTATACGCCGCTAACATCGTGCTGTGCTTAGAGATTCTTGAAATTAAGATTCTCAAACTATACTTGTACTGAAAATTATTCCGCCTTAAAATACGGCGAGAATTTATCGATCGAATTTACTTGATCGAAACATGAACTTAACATGAAATTTGCTATAGAATTTAGGAATACATATATTAATTCCATAAATCCTCCATTCACAATATAACATAATATTTTCTAAGAAAATCCTTGGCTTAAAAATACATGAATTGTATTATTTAAGGTCTGGAATTTTCTCAGTCATTACATATGTGATATTCAGAATCGTCCTTATTTTTTAAACAGAAACGACTTCACTTTTCCTTCCAATGTCGTTTGCTAAAAAAATGCGACATGTCGTTCATTGTTCAAGCTTCGAATAACAACACTGTTTATAGTATACATGTAATTAATACACACACATGTTATAGTATACATATGTAATTAATCTGCTCACGCAACCAAATTAACGGTGTCATTAGCTCCATTATGTTTTTGGACAATCAAATTAACATTGACATGGTTATCTCATTTCTCTGATCATGCCTCTAAAAAAACAATATGTAAGTCGACATCTTTAAATATGTATATACATTTCACAACAAACGTGAGGATAAAAAAAATAAAACCAGCAAGTAAACGAATCATTTGACACATAAAATTAAAATCCATCAAGTTAAAAGTCTCTCCACGCAATTTAAACCAAAGTTGATTTCCCAATTCCAAGACTTGCTTTTTGGCTTCTCTTAATAGGTTCTTGAAACTTCCTCTGCTTCTGGCCACTCTTGCTTTTGAATGTTTTCTCGGAAGTCTTTGCCATGTTCAGAGGCTTTACTGACTTGACCTGACTAATTGGGATCAACTTGGTTTGAGCCGGTCCTTTCTCTTCTCTTGTGTTGTGAGTTTTGAGAGCTGAACGTCTTTCATTGATTAACTCGTTTCTACTTCCAATCATTCCATCATTATCTGAAACCATAGCAACCAATAGACACTAATTATATGTTTATAATTATATGATACATATGATGGATGTATGTGTGTATGAGTGTAGATAAACGCTTCAGTCCTACAACCCAACATGTAGAAAAAGAAAGTGAAATCGTACTTGTTTTATGCAACAATGGCTTTAAAAAATGTTACAATGTGAAATTTACTTATCGCAAACTAACGTCGTAATTGTTCAAAATTATTGGTATGTGAACTAAATGTCATGAAATTTACTTGTTGTATACCAATTTCATACTTCTCCCTCTTATTACATAAAATAAATATCATATTAGACTTCTTACCGTTACCTGTTATAAGCCCTTCACTGGTTATGAAATACAAATCCTCTATTTGTTTTATGGTTAAATATAGAAGTACACAAAATTATTCAAAATTCATATTACCAGGACTAGATAAGACAGCACGTGGTCTTGGGACTGAACAAGCTCTAACATTTGGTTTAGCATCCTTGACAAGTGGTCGTCTGTTGTTCTCCACTGTCGTTGAAAAATAAAGATGTTTCAGTTCAAAAAAAATGCTATTATAAAATATATCTGTAAAAGAAGAGGGACTAGGAACACAGCTTTTGGAATAAACATTCAGATTCAACCTTTGGATGCAGAACTCAATTGCTTCGTTGAGTGTTCTTCTAGTGCATGAGCTTTCAAGATTCTGACTATTGGGAGCGGTGAACTGCTTCTGTTCTCCTTTGCTGCGTATATGGATTAAAGATATTTAAATCCATATACAACCAATTAATGTAGAAATCAACAATATAGACATATAAATATGTATGTATGCAGTACAAAAGACAGCCTTTAAAACCACGCTCATATTCCAAACAGATTTAGCCAAATTTTATATCTGAAAACCTAAGAGCTTCAAAAATCTAAACATTGTATGTTTGGAAAATTATACCAAGAAAAGAACTACCTTCCATGGATATAAATTCTGGCGATGTGAAAAACAGCTCGGCTTTGCGGTCATTTTGCGGTGAAAGACGATCCTCTTGTTCAGATGCCCTTACTTTCACCTTTGGATACACTTCAAGAAGTAACAAAAATCATGAGAATGCCACAATAATCTAATGAAAGTTTAAGTAATATGAGAAAGTAAATAAGAAAAAAGGACATGGAGAAAACGAAAATCCTTACTTTTGAAGTGTTTCAACTTCAAGATCGAAAAACGACAACTACCCACAAAAGAAATCAGCTCTGTTGAAGAGATCTATAGATTATTATATAATAAAAAAAAATAAAAATAAAAATAACCTCTGCAGATAAATATGGGAATAGAATAAAAGCTTTTCTTCTTCTTTTTGGTAAAGGAACCTTACTTTGTTGCTTGTTTTCAAATTCAAATGGGCTTTGGTTTTGTTGTTCTGCAGATATGAAGCATATTACAAAAGACGTACGAAGGAGGGACTGTGCTAGAGTCTGACAGAAGTAACGGTCATCTGATGAACTCAAAACTTAAAAAGTGCTAATATTCATTTCTTGACTTGAAAACCAAGATGCAAAGATTACAAAACAACAACATGGAACTTTTGATTGAATGCCCTGGGACCATGGGAACACGTGATTCAGTACGTCCTTCGAATGTAGAGGACGTTTGGTTGGAGGATTCAAATCATGTGATTCAAACTATTTTCAATTTACGTGTATTTTTTATGAAAAAAAATACTGTAGCGAACCACGAATCATGATTCGAATCAGGGAACGAATCATTCTACAAAACATTCTCGTATGCTTATGTGTGGAGTACATTGAAAGAGGGGATGGGGATCTATATATATATATATATATATATATTTCATTTCAGGGTTAAGTTTGAATTATATATGGTGCGTTTGGAGCTCGTTCTAAAATGATTTTATTTTTTGTATGAAAATGGAAATGAAAACGTTTTTAATCTCAAACAAAAATCATTTTTGAAAATGTGTGTGGTAGTTTTATTCTGAGATTGTTTTCGATATAAGAAAAAACAAAAATACCGTTCGGTAATTCATTTATACTGATCTCAACTATTCATAAATCATAACAACAATGTACAGATCTAACATCAACATAATTCAATCAATTCCTTAAAAAAAGATTTGGATGGTTGCCTCAATCTCTCTCAAACTACTGAAAAAAGCTATGAGGACGATCTTCATATTCAAAACAATTTCCAGTGTAAGAATAATACTCAGGACAAGAAGACTCGCAAACCCAAAATCAACCACGATCATGAATTTGTTTTATAGGCTATGGTGATCATAATACCACCACCAAAAGGATTTTTCTTAACAAAATAATAAAAAAATAAAACTAAAAATCAGAACCTAGATTTACACCACCATTTCCCTCTTCAGATCCGCGCCACCCATGCTAGTTCTACACCTAACGGAGTCTATAGCTAGCCGCCATGTTGGGCTCAAAAATCGCGATCGTCACCCTTGCCGTCACCGTCGTCGTCGGTTGCAACCGTTCTATCGAGCCCATAACTCTGGCTATAAAATTCATTCCCTGATTTTTCAGAACAAAACAAAAGGAATCAAAATCAAATTAGCTGAACATGGAATTCATTGTAGAGTTTATGGTTGTTCTTGAACAAGATCAACAAGATCTTAGAGAGAGAGATAAAGGGGTCCAGATCTTCCGACGAACGACCACCGTCTACGGCGGCCTGGAAAACTTTAAACCTCGAGTCATTTGCCGGCGATCGCGACGATGAGCTCGCAGCATCACCAGCAGAAAGGCGCGATTAAGGTTTCAGAAAACAAACCTGAGTCAGCGAAGACGACGATGAAGACGAAGAGGCCGAGATTGGCGAGGTACGAGGAAATATCTAGGAGAAAATGAAAAAGAAAAAATGAAAACGAGTAAAATTCATTTTCAGCGATTTTGTGAGAAATGCAAAAAACGTTTTCAATTTTATTTTTAGTTGGATGGTGCTCCAAACGCAATCTTCAGTCCATTTTTATTTTTTGCTCCTCAAAAAATGTAAAAAAACGTTTTCAGGATGAGTTTTAAACATGCACGTAGTTTCTGTTTGGTTCGGTGGTTTAAATTTTTTTATTTGAATAGAAAAATTTAAACTGTAATTTGAATTGATGTTTAGATGTACAATTAAAGTTTTAATTTGAACAGTGAATAAAATTCAAATTTGTGTTTAGTAAGTGTGAAAAGCAGAAAGAGTGGGCACTTTTTACTGTTCAAAAACAGTTTGAACGGTTGAACTTGATGGGAGAGCTAAACTCTAAGTTGGGCTGTTTAACTTAGTTCAAATGGGGAATATAATTCAAACTGTATGCTTACCAAACGTCAGTTTAAACTTTGTTCACTGTTTAAATTGAGTTGATCTGAATTGTGTTAGTGAAACAAACATGGGCTATAGTTGGTGCTTTTTCTTTCTCCGTCTATTAAGTAATAGAGTAATTGGCACAGATAATTTCTAACTTATTTAGTAAGTGATAATTTAATCCGTATTTTTTAAATTTTGACGAAACACTCTTCAAACTCGTCAAATAGGTGCAATCAAGGTCTTTTCATTATGTTCCGTTACTTTTTTAACAGATAAAGGCATGTAATATGTCATATAACTTAGAATTGCACTAAAAAGACAAATTTGCCCCTAATTAGTAATTGAATTGTTTAAAAAATTGACCAACCGTACAATCTTGTTCTCCAACTTCATACTCACTAATAAAAAAAACAAAAGCTTGAATAACTCAAATCTCAACAAGACTGAAGACTTAGGGTGCGTTTAGTATATGGATTCAGAATTATGATTATAGATCTTGGTTTAGAATCAGTGTTTATTTACATTGATTCTGAATCATAATTTTAAATCATAATTCTGAATCATGATTTAGAATCAGTGTTTAATTTGGATGATTCTGAATCATGATTCAGAATCTGATGTGATGTTTTAAACTAGCTCAAATCATGATTCTAAAACCATTCTCACTTGATTAAAGGTGATTTAAACCCTTGATTCTGAATCATGATTTGAACCCAAAATCATGAATCATGATTCTGATTCCAGAATAATAATTAAAATCACCATGATTTGAATTCTCATACCAAACGAACCCTTAGGATCGGGGTTAATAAGGATTTGAGATGTTGGAGCATGATCAAAAAAGGAGAAAAACTCCCCACCACTGTGTCCCTATGGCATCTTGACGTCCTAAATTTCAAGGCAAACTCCCAAACAAAGTAGTAAGCCCTAGCGGCCACCGCCCAAGTCTGAGTCGTCGATGATCGTTTCTCGTCGAATTGGGTGTTGATTCTTTGGGGGTTTTGATCGTTGATCTTAGCCCATCCTTCCTCTGGCGTTAGTTACGCAAGTTTTGGTATGTGGTTGTAGATTGGCATTTTTGCCGCCATTTTGAGAGGATTTTAGTTCTCTCTCTTGGATTTTGTCCATTTGTTGGCCTAATTTCCTGAGCCGCCGAGATCCGTCGGTTTCTTTGGCGAAGTGTGGTCTTAGTCGTGTTCTTGCCGACTTTTGAGAGGATTTCAATCTCTCTCCTTAAGTTCGCCCATCTACCAACCCGTTTTGGTCTTTGTGATCTCTTCTCTGAACTTTTTGGAGGTTCTGCCTCAGCCTTCCATCATCAACACTTAGCACTTCAGTGATTCTAGTTGCTTTTACAGTCCAGTGAGGTAGCCCCTCTATTGTTTGTGACTTTTGAGTTTGGGAAAATACATGAACAAGAGTTTTTTGCAAGTTTCTAGTTTGTTACATTTCTTGTTTGTTTGTTTTGTTTTTTTGAAAAAACTAAAATCTAAGAATGAGTTTCTGGTTTATAATTTTTTTAGGTATGATCCTTTTTTTGTGAATTTATGCATAAAATTGTTATTTTACTGAAATGCCCTTATATATTAGGTCACATGTGTTTATCTGTTAAAAAAGTGGCATAACATAACAAAAAGGTCTTAATTACATCTATTTAGGGCCCGTTTAGTTCGCTGATTCGAGTTTTTAATTCGAGTTGAGATGTGACTTTATGTGAAAGCTTTCTATTATAGTAAAAAAGTTAGATGTGACTATTTCTGATAGCTTTTACTGTAGCAAAACTCGAATCGGTGAAATGAACGGGGGCCTTAAAGAGTTTGAAGGGTGGTTTGCCAAAATTGCAAAAAATATGACTAAACTATCACCTGCTAAATGAGTTATGGACCATCTGTGCCAAATACCCTAAGTAATATGTAAAGAGACAAATACTCTTAAAAATAAGGAGTAAAATTTCAAATCCATGTACTCTAAGGTATTTTCTCTTAACTATATTAATTAAAGGGTATTAATTAAAAGTAAAGGAAAAAAATTCATACTCATAAGTTCAACAATTTTCTCATATATTATAAAATATATGTTTATACAAGTTATAAATTTTGAAAATTTTGTCAAGAGACCTATGCATTTTCCATATTGAAATACTCTTGAGATATTGCAATGTTTTAAATAAAGGTCACAATCACATTTCATATTTGTTACCAGCATTTTTCATATTGAAATACTCTTGAGATATTGGCTTAGTTTGGTAGTGATGTGGATTTAAAAAAAATATATTTTTAGCTGTGCTAAAAGGAGAAGCATCTGTTACAAGAAGCAGCTAAGTGTTTGATAAAATGTAATTATACTAGACTACTAGCTGTGTTGGTTTCAAAATCAATGTAATAGCGTTTGGTAAATTTTGAGGCTGAATTATTGTAGGTATGTAAAATGACAAAAATAGACAGTTGTATGCAACTTAAATATATATATATAATTATTTTTAGTATTTAGAAATACTTGTAGACTTACAAAAAAAATAATGCTATGATTTTGACTTTTCTAACAATAAATTTATGATAATTAATTATTTTTTTATTTATTCATTCACAATATAGTTACAACTACAAGGAGTATTAGTAAGTAATCAACATATACAACAAAAATGTACATTCCATGTTCAAAAACTGGTATAGCCATGAAAAAAATTAAGTCGTGTTCTTTAAACTTGCCGCAATTTGATCTTGTACTTCATCCATTTCCAATGATAGTAAAACTTGATTTTCTTTTCCATTGTCATTTGGTTGATTATCTTCATAAATAAAAACATCTGGATTATCCTCGACCCTTTGAAAATGTCGATCGCGCTTATCATGCTTCCTAATGTAGTTATGGAGCGCCATTGTAGCAATAACTATTTACACTTGCTTCGCAAATGAATAATTTGGCATGTCTTTCAAAATTTTCCATTTTTTCTTCCAGACATCAAATGTGCGTTCAATGACACTTCGAAAAGAAGAGTGTGCTTGGTTGAATACCTCTTTATGGTCAGTTGGTCGACGACCAATTCAAAATTGTTCTAAATGGTATCGTTCTCCTCTATAAGGTCTAAGAAATCCTTTTAATTGTGGATAACCTGCGTCAACCAAATAATATTTACCTATTGAAATAAAAACACAAAGAATTAGTAAATTATAAAACATATATTTCATGAATATAAAAGAGGTTTTAACTTTCTGGTGGTGTTGAAAAATTCAAATTTGCATGACGTAGTACTGATAAGAATATTATTGTATCATAGACACTACATTCCCAACCTGCATATGCATATGTAATCTCATACTAAAATCGCAAGCAGCCGTCACATTTTGGGTTGGCACACGCTTTCTTCCAATAAATGGGACTTGATCTTCTGGTGGTATTGTAGCTGGAACGTGTACGTCATCTATTGCACCAATACAGTTCTAAAAAGAAGAAAGTTTTATGTTTAAAATGAATACTTTAAATAAGGAATGAAGCATATAATTAACTAAGAGAATACCTTAAAATGTGGCATATATCTACAATCCGTTAGTATGTCGTGAGGCACGCCACTAAACTCTGGATCATCAAGCTTTATAGTATCCATACTCACACGACAAACAATGTCTAGAACGTACTTAAAATATCTACTAACTGTTTCACCAGAGTGTTGAAATCGTTCTTATATTGAACGATTTCCCGCACCCTGGCCTAAAATGAATAAAAACATTCTGACTATTTCAAACACGGACATATTTCTTGATCCCTGTAATCTGTAGTTACATTACAAATCATTACATAGCGACATAAAAACATCTTTATCCATTCTAAAAATTCTATAACTTCTAATTTCATGTCCACCTAATAATTCAATTAGCCACATGTTTCCAGTTTGAGCAGAGTTCATACAAGGATTTTTATGAATATACATATTGTAATACTGTTCAATGAGTCGTGCTATAACATAAACAAGTTGTAAATTCAATTGGGCATTATTATCAGACATCTCAGCATATAATGAATAAACCTGTATGTAAACATAATTCAAATGAAATAATAGAAAATAGCAATGTTTGAGGAATAAAAATAGAGTACGGTATTCAGTACAATGTGTTTGAGAACATAGAAAAAAACAGCAATGTCTGAAACATACTTAATGAAAACCACACTAAAAGATTAATGTTAGTAAAGGAACACTCAAGGGAATTTAAGAGGATAATCATAGCCCGTGCTCAAACTTAAGCCAGTTGAGCTTTAACATGTCGTTTCAAAGCCATAACTGACTCTTTTAATCGTGTATGAGCATAAGTGGATAGCAAAAAAATACAACTCACTCTTAATCTCTATTCCAGGTAGAGAATCAACGACTTCAATAACTCGTGCAATGCTACAATCTGGTTCTTTAGTTTGTGCAATGGATGATATGGTAATAATAGTCTCAACTACATTGATAAGGCGATCAATTTGTTGCGACAATTTAGCTGTACCACCAACTTTATCCTTGCCTTTCCCTTTCTTGAGTTTCTTTTGTCTCTCATATGGCTCAATTAGACGCTTATTCTTAGGGTCCTGTGGCATTTCTCTTCTGATAGTTGCATCTGACAATCCATTACTCTCAAGTTGTTCAAGTGTAGTTGTCATTTCATTTGTTGTTTTATCAGGCTCGCATGGCATTTGTCCAAATGCGGGTGTCCAAGAGCACACTCATATGGCCACAGTATTAGGAAACATCCTATTTAACTTTTCCTCCAACTTTAGTTCAATTCCCCGAATGCAAAATTTTGATGTGTTAGGATGAATATGAAAAAACACTTTAATAAATTAAACCTGCCACACAAATTAAACCTGCCACACACCAACACTAAACTATCACAATTATACAACTTCATTTGTATACCTGTAATTTATTACACCACCATTCCTCAGATGCTTCAATAGTATTCTTTTTAATGTTCCAACCTAAACCAATTTCCTTCCCAACAAGTTCCTTCCAAAGCTTCCAATCATTCTCCAAAGCATCCCACTTATTCTTCAATTGTTGTCTTTTATATACTCGTTTGGTTGCTTCATTAAATTTCTGAATTATATTTTTCCACCCAACTTTATCAAGATGTGTTCCAGGTTGGTGTCCACCTTCAACCTCTTTGATACATAAATCACAAAAAAGGTCTACAGCCTCGAAATCTCATATTGCTTTACCTTGTGATATAGTACCTTCCATTTGGGAAATGCTAACTGAAAGTCTAAAACATCACTCTCCTTAGCGAACAAACAAACAAACATCAATGACATTTCACAAACACTTTCCAAATTCATAACAAATACTAAGATTTTGAGATCGTGGTTTACCACAAATTCTATAACACATCACAACAAACCCCAAATTCATAACAAACACTAAATTTATGTACACAGATTAAACATGAAAAAACATAACCCACATGCCCTTAGAGTAAAGCAAATCGATAAAATTGAATAAACACAAAAATACACCCGGTCAAAATTGATTCATTACAGTTTTTGCGTCAACATAAATGAGTTACAACTAATGTGTGTCAGGTGGACACCATTAAGAGCAAGGAAATGGTAACAGAACAGGAATAATGGTAACAAATATACCAACAAGGAAAAATCAAACAACAGAAATAATGTTAAATTCCCTTGCAGTAGATGCCCGTGACACAGAATTTGTCATGAAGATAGATTAATGGGTTAGGATGAAAGCTAATTCAAGGTAAAGGGTTACCCACCAGTTTTTCTTCACAGGGCAGAGGAAAAACAAAGTTTTTCTTCACAGTTTTTGGAACAATATGCACGAGAGATTCAAATGATTAAATAACCATATCCATGAACTATAATCCAAGCATGTGAATACCCATAAAATAGAGTCAGAATCCGGTCCAAACAAAGGGTTTACATAGCAAAGAAAAAAAAATTCACAAAAAATCCATCGACCAAATTTTTCACAAAAAATATGAACCCCAAAACTTAAAATAGATGTGGACAAAAAATCAAAAGCAAATCCAGAGCCGCACTAAAAATCGAGTAGTTACAGAGGCTTACCTCTTGATTTGATGGGAGGAGAACGGGCAGTCGGAGAAGGAGATGGGAGACTGGCAAACCGACAATCGCACGGAGGAGAAACCAAACAAACACAGATCGACGAACGGAGACAGAGATTGGATGAGAAAAGAAGAGGAGAAGAGATAGATCGGGCGAGAGAGATTGGATGAAAGGAGAAAAGAGAGAACGGAGTTTTGAGATAGCTCAGACGGGAGTCAAGGATAAGCTCAGAATACGTGGTAGTACAGGTGGTAAATTTTAGATTTCATTGGGGGTAAAATTAGGAATAAAAAAATTTCATTAAACTCTCAAAAAGATTCTTACATAAGCTAAAAAGTAGAATCAACATTTAGGCTGATTCGGGTTTTAGCTTCAGATTGAGAGGAAATTGTTCAAAAATCTATTATTTTGATTTTTACCAAACAACTTTTAAGGTTTTTACTATCTTAATAAGTACTTTTTCTCTCCCACAATTAATACCAAACTATGCCATTATATTATTTTAAATGAAGGTCACAATCACATTTCATATTTGTTATCATTTATTACCAAAAAAAAAAAGAGTAAAAAAACACGACTAGTTCACTTTTGTCTTTTCATTAATTTTCGAGAGAGATAAAAGGTACGTTTGGTATATAGATTTTTTATGGATTTAAACCCACGATTTTAATTTTTTGTTATAGTGTTTTTTTTTAGAAAGTTGTAATAAACAGATTTTTGAAACTAAATTAAGTAAATAGCAATTTAAATGATAAATAAATCATAAATCTTTGTTTACGTAAATAAAATTTTTTTTACCAATCGTAAAAAAAATTTATGTGAAAAAATATTTTTTAATCGTAAATTAAATTATTTACACGGTAAATGATTTATTTACTACGTAAATTGTTATTTATTTTATATAATTTTAAAATATGTTATTTATTTAATTTTATTTTATAAATATATTGACCGTGTTTGAAATTGATCATGTTTTTGTTTTCCACGTTTTTTGAGAAAGAAAAAATGAAAACGTTTCTAAAACGGCGTTTGGCGTAATAAAAATAAAAAAGGGAAATGAAAACGATTTTTTGGTTTAGTTTAAAATGAGAACGAAATGAAAAAATGACTTTTAGTTGTTTTTCATTTTTCGTTTTCGTTTTCTCCTATCTCAAGCAGAGAAAAAGAGAGAGATATTAATGGGTTTTTTATACTGAAAATAATCTCTTGATAAAATTACTAAATACATTTTTAAAAATAATTTCTATCTGAGATTAAAAACGTTTTCATTTTTATTTTTATACAAAAAACAAAATTATTTTAGAACTAAGTTCCAAACGCACCCATTATTTACTACGTTTTCTTTCTATCGCATCAAACCCCTGTTCGAACCCGAGTTTCAACTCATATATCAAAATGTATTTTTCTCATCGGAAATAGTAGAAAATAGGCCAATATGAAAAGCTTAAGAAAGTATATAGGCCAACTTTTAGTTATAGAAATTAATAGGCCATAACTTGTCAAGTTATGGTTCATAACCAGATAAGTTATGGAGAAACTTATCAAGTTATGGTTCATAGTCAGACAAGTTATAAACAAAAACTGTAAATGATGGATAATAACTTGTCAAATTATAATTTATAACCAGACAAGTTATGAATAAAAACAGTAATTTTGCCTATTTCTCATCTCCCCTTAGGATTCCTGCATTTGTCATCATGGGCTCGAAACTCTGGGTTTTCCACGTAATGGACCAACCTTGTTGGGCCAAAAAAATCTCTTAACAACCGAATTAGCCCCAAAGTCAAAACCCTCGAAATAGGTCAGTGGACCTTCGCAAATCTCTCTTCCCTATCGTCATGGCGTCCCAAGCCCGAAGAGGCGGAGTTTCCCTCCCCGACCGACGAAACTCCAAGAAAGAGGAGAGCGGCGTAATTGCCAGAATCTCGCACTCGGAAATCGTCTCTCGCGGGAAGCAAGCGGCATCGGACGCGGCGATCGTGACGAAGAAGCTCCTGAAAAGCACCGGCAAGGCGGCGTGGATCGCCGGCACCACCTTTCTCGTCCTCGTCGTCCCTCTGATCATCGAGATGGACCGCGAGCAGCAAATGAACGACCTCGATCTCCAGCAGGCCAGCCTCCTCGGGACGGCGGCGCAGAAGTGAGCGAACTCCGATTCGCGCCGGAGAAAAATCGGTATCGGATTTCCCCAATCCATGTTGTTTACTGTTCTGTACTGCTAGGCTTTTTGATTTTGACTATGAGATTATGAGCTTGAACATTTCCTGTGAGGTTTCGATCCTGCTTAGCTCGTGAGATTCCAAGTACATTGGATTTGAGATTAGAATAATTATCATTCTGTAGAATTAGGGCCTTTTTCGGCTGTTAAGATCCACTTAAATACCGATTTCTATGTCTTTTTGAGCTGTACCTTGTTTGTTATCCAGATATTTATATCAATGGAGTATGCAAAATGCGAAATTTTCTAAGCGCTAGACGCTAGCTGATGTAAGGCTTAGGTATTTGTTGTATTTTTTTTTTTTTGGTTTGATTTGTGGCTAATATATAAGAGAATTAAACAGGAAATCCTTGTAAAGAAGTTGAAATTACATTTAGTAGTTACAGATGCAATGAAAGGAATTTCCTTGAATTAATATGAACCTGTAGGCTCTTAAGAGGATTAAGTGATCTTTTAGGATTGGTGAAATATTCTATTTAGTACCTTAGTAATGGAAGATAGATACCACACTTAAGAAACAGTCTTTATGAATTCCTACGAAGTCGAAGTGTTAGAGTTAAAATTTCATTTGCCTTGTGTTGGAAGAAGAGGCTTCCTAAGTGGAAGGTATCTCCTTGTTTTCAAGTAATAGTTCCCTATGTCTAGTGGCCGCTTAGTCTAGTGGCATTGAGGATTTGGATGGGATGGGATTTGGGGGGTTGCGGGTTCGATTCTGTGTTGTATCAAAAAAAAAAAAAGAAAGAATCCTTGTGTCCAGCTTAATTGGCCGTATGGCGATACTTATTGAATGTTTTTGGAGAAATGGTGTCTGTTACTCTGCTGCAGTGTAGGAGTCTTCACTCTTAACCTTTTTCTTAGCACCTCATGAACTTGCAGGATTGTATGACTCGGGGAATTCATGGCCATTTACTGACGCCTTTTAGATTTTTTATCTGGCCTTGGGTTTTTGTCTTGTGTCAAGTGAGTATCGGGTCGATTAGAGACATAACATTTTTGGATAGTTGGTAAACCACTTATGTGCAAAGAGATTTGAGCCTAATTTATACATAAAAATAGTACTGGTGACTAACTAGACTTCATAAATGGTGTTGAGCCTAATTCGTTCTCTAAAAGGCTTGCCTATAGGTTGCTCACAATCCGCAGCATGGTTAGTTGGAGGTTCTGTGTTTGTTTTGGCCAGACCTGAGCCAAATTAAAAAATTTTGTACCTTGGATACACACGCGATTTTAAGTTCTAGAGTACGTTATCACTTGTCAAAATGATAAGAAAATAGCAATAGGCATAAATTATAATCAAGTATCCAGGCTCCAGCAGACTTTTTCTTTTATCAAATCCTGACCGGAGAACCAATAGTAGCAACTAGCTTGTGTTTCTCTTTGTTTTCTTCTCAAAATGGTAAGAAATAGCTATAGGCATAAATCATAATTCAGTATCCAGGCTCGAGCAGACTTTTGCTTTTATCAAATCCTGACCGAAGAACCGATAGTAGCAACTAGCAATTGCTTCTCTTTGTTTTCTTCTCTGCAATAGATGTAAGTGCTAAAACTTTGGACGGGCTGCCCGTGATTACCGAAAAGTCTGAATTTTTGCCCGAGTACCAAACCCAAACTGCCCAAAAATTTGGGCTCCCGACCCGAAAATTGCCATGGACGGGCTTCAGGCAGGAGGTGCCTGCCCGTGCCCGTTCGGGCTGCCCGATGCCCAACCGGCTGCCTGAATTTTCAAATTTTGTTTTATATTATATTTTTATATTGTATTTGTATAATTATAATGTGTATATTACAATTTGAAATTTGAAATGAACACACGAACTATATAAAAAAAATTATTTCTTCATTGATTTTTAAATTTGTAATTCATGATTGCCTCGTTAAAAATCTTACTAAAAAAAACCCAATTGGGATAAAAACTTGGTAAGAAAAAACGAGTGCAATCATTGTGGGACGAATTACAAATTTAACGAATTTACAAAGTCTATACAAGATTACAATAACACTATGCAAATTAGAAATTACAAAGTAAATAAATATTTACAAATTAGAATAATAAAATTTAATTTTAAGCAGAATGATCGTCTTCAAAATTAAAAGTTAATCTATTAAATTCGTCGATCCATTCTTGGTTTGCCGGTGAGATTGTATCGTGTAAGCGTTGGTCGGAATGGTCTCAATCCTTGATGCACACTAAAGCTTCAATAATATCCTGCTGCAATGTGATTCTCCGTTCTTCAAGTATTTGGCTGGTTGTACTGAATGTTTGTTCGGCTGCAACAGTGGAGACCGGGATCGAAAAAATATTCATTGCCAGTCGTGTTAGGATCGGCCAAGTTAATGCTCGTGCCCTCCACCACTCAACCAAATCAAACATTTCACTACTGTCTATAACTAAGCACTCACTCAGGTACGCTATTAACTCGTTGAATCCGCCGCCGTCTCTTGATGAAGATCCACTCCCAGATTCTTCTTGACCTTGAGTCGTCGTCATCTTCTTCTTCTTCTTCTTAGACAACCCGAAAACATTCAAGAATGAATGCGGATTGTCGTCTCGTTGTTGCGGTTGTTCAACACGAGGTATGTTTATAAACCTATTTTCATAAGAGATATATAGAGAATATATTTTTTCCTTTATAATAGGAAATTGATCAGTATTGTCGATAGTTAAAAATTCACCTAAGTTATCTAATCCACTTTCTAAACCTTCTAATTTTAATCTAGGGTCAAAAATAACACCGAAACTATACAACATGGGTAATTTAAACCAATATTTTTTAAACTTCTTTTCTATAGAGGCGATAGGAACTCTTAAAACCTCGTGTGTCCTAAATTTACTAAATAAAATAGACATTCTTAAAAGTTATCCTAACGTTAATGATGAAGTTGGGTAATAAGTTCCACTAAGCTTTAAGATAATTTCGTGAAATCTACCTAAAAAGTTATACAAGAGTTTGGCAATTTGTCAATCAATTTCATCTATAAATCTTGCTCCTAATTTTGCACTAACATAATTTGTTATAGCATCTTTATAGGGGATGCATTGTTGAAGCATTATGTAAGTGGAGTTCCATCTTATGGGCATATCTAAGGCTAGGCTAATGCTCTAAGAATTTGATTACATGCTTGTAGAAATCTAAACCAATCTTGTATTCTTTTATTACTACCTTGAATCCAAACAATGTTATCTCTAATTCTTTTAATATGACCTGACATTGATTTTAAACCGGACTTTACTATTAAATTAATTATATGACATGCACAACGTTAGTGAAATATATCATTATTACCGAATAAACTTAAATCATTTTCAAAAAGTTCTATTGCTTTAGTATTTGCAGTTGCATTATCTAATGTTATGGCCATTATTCTATCTCTTAAACTATATTCATCAATAACAGATAAAATTGTATTATAAATTAAATTGATAGTATATGATCTTATAACATATTTGAAACCTAAGATTCTCTTATCCAAATCAAAACCTTTATAATAATGTCCGGTTACAGCTAAATAATTCTTGTTGGCAACGGCGGATCAAATATCTGCCGTTAACGCGACGCAACCGCTAGTAGAGTGTAGAAGGTTGATTAATGCTTCATTTTCTTGTTTATATAATTTTAATGCATCTTTCCTGAGAGTAGTTCTAGAAAAAAAATTCGGCATTAGGATTATGTACAATTTTAATATAACGCTGCTAATTTCTTTGTTCAGTAAAACTTAGTGGTTGATCTAATGTGGCTATTAATCATGTCATTTCCATACGATCAACTTGCGGATTGTATTTCCACGTGCTTAGACCGCCGGTTTGGCGGTCAAACGATAATTGTGTTTGGCGGGGATCAGTTCCGCCTCCTTGCTTTTGAAGACACTTTTCAGAGTGTCTTTTTAAGTGTGTAGTGTCGTGAATAGTGTTACCTTGTAATTTCTCACCACAATATTACATTGAGCTATGTATTTAATGTTACCGTTATTGTCAACCTCCTCGAATGTGTTGAAGTGCTCCAAAACTACTGAGGTGCGCTTGCATTTCTTCTTAGAACTTGCAACACTTGCGCTAGCACTACCGCTTGCCTCTCATCCACGGCCACCAGTGCCACCACCATTACGTCCCCGACCTCTAGTACGTCCACCAGGGGTCAGATTTGCAGTTTCATCAGTAACTTTTTTCATAGTTTGCGATTCTTGTGTTTGAAAAACATTAGGAAATTGCCCTTCTTCGATGTTGAATTGAGCATCAATGGGAATATCACCACTATAACCAGAAGAAGCCATTATGAAAAATAAGAGAGATTGAGAGCGCTTTGAGAGAGATTAAGAGAGATCGAGAGAGATTTAAGCGAGATTAAGAGAGATTTGAGAGAGATTAAGAGAGATTAAGAGAGATTGAAAGAGAATAAGAGTTTTTGGGTGAGGAAAATGGTTGGGGGGAGGAGGGTATTTATAGGAAAATTTTTAGGTTAAAAAAAAAAGAAATTTCCCTCAAAAATTCGGGTCCAACGGCTAGTATAATTTTCGGGCAGGTCGGGCAACGGTAAAAAATCCGACCGTTGGGTTCGCATTTTCGGGCAAAATTCGGGTTCGAGCAAAAAAGATCCGTTTAGTTCAAAATTCGGGCATTTTTCGGGCTAACGGTCAAAAAAATTAGGGCATTTTTCGGGCAACGGGCAAAAAAATTCGGGCAAAATTCAGGCAACTTCAGGTAATGCCGGAAAATTTTAAAAAAATCCGGCAAACGGCGGGGGACGACTTCTCCACGGCGGCGAGCAGTCGGGGGAATGAATATTTTTGGGCTACCCGAGCCCGTGCCCGAAAAATACCATGGTCGGGCGGCGAGAGGCACCTGCCCGCCGTGCCCGAAAATTTTCAGGCACCGGGCATGCCCACCGCCCGAAGTTGCAGCACTTGTTGACTTGTCGAGTGAACCTAGTGTAGTTACTCTTCAAATTGAAAAAGGGTGATTTTTTAATAAGCAGAAGGGGTTATGACCATTCGCAAAATAAGAATTAAAGAATAATTTGAGTTGTTCTAGCTGGAAAGCAGTCAGTCTACTTTGTTTTCCCTTGGAAATTTTTTTATAAATTTTAGGATTTTATAAGTTAAAAAAATTTCTAAAAATTAAAATTTGTATTTACATTATAATAAATATTAATTAAATATTAATACTTTTAGAATTTTAGCATGCAAATTAATGTTTTATACTTTAAAATACTTAACTTATATAATTAAATACTTTAATTTATAAAAAATCAATTTTAAATAATACAATAAAAAATTATAAATTATGTGAACTTATAATTATATTCATTAACTTAATAATATATGATGAAATTAATAATTGTATTTATATTATAAAGTAACTCATATATTATATAGTATCATAATGTATTAATATAGATAAATGTATATTTATTTATCTATGTATATATCATAATGTACTAGTATGGATAAATATATTTATTATATAGATAAATAAACCTAATTAGAAATAAAGGGAAAACTGGGTATAAAAAAAAAAAGATAATAACTACTTTTCGACAAATGATTGAAATTGCTTTCTTTTTTTTCCCTCCAAAACGTTCTTTTTTCCTTCAAACCATTAATTATTCTACCTAAAAGTTTTGATTAATTTCCCTAATTAATGTCAATTAACTTGGCCAGGAAAAATTCTACAAGAAAAACGTGGTGAGAGGGAAAAAAAAAAAACTGCTGATATAAGTTTTATTTCTCTCTCATAAAAGGAAATTCAAAGAAAGGGACAAATCAAAAAAGAAGAAATAATTAAAAAGGAACAGAAAAAATGATAGGCTATATAGTGCTCAATTATTATAGCTAGAAGGAGCTTTTTAAGTATGTATATATATATATATATATATATATCAGGAACAGATCAGGATGGGTTGGCAATTTCAATCATATGGAAGGACCATTTTGTACACACAGCACCCTTAACCAACGTTCAACACAAAAAGAGAGTAAGCGAGCGAAAGAGTGGCATTCCATGGTGGTCCCTTCTCATGCGTAAGTATGAAGACCAAGAGTGGTTGTGAGGCAACAATCTCCTTAACTCCCAAGGATTGATTAAAGATAAATTTTTGTGTTTTTTTTCATTGAACTAGCATTCCGTATATAAGACTCGACGTAGCATTACATAAAGCTAGTGGGAAAAGAAAAGGAGAATGCGACACTTGAAAGATGGACCCCAATAATGCATTATAATTATAACTTTAGATTATTGTTTTAAAAAAAATGAAAAATTGGAAGTTAGATTAGATACATAAATCAAAACTGAAAAACAGATTTCTCTTATAATTATATATATCTACTATATATATATATAGTAATAATAAAAAAGCTGCCTTAACTAGGTAGGCAAGATATATATATATATATATATGATAATTTGGTAGGCACGGTATTTCTTTTCACATTGGCGATGGCTAAGGAAAGTCGCCAACAGATGCCATCCACCTCATGATCATTATACTATAATCTCTCCAATAATAAAGCAGTCATTCACTGAAAACGACGTTACACACGTCAGTGTTACAAAATATAGACAAGTGACGAGGCACGGACAAAAAATATATGAATCAAAACTCTAATTGTTATGATTAAAAATTTCGTTTATTTCACCGATTTAAATTTAAAATTTAAATTTTATTATAATAAAAAATTATCGTAACAGTTATATTTAATTTTTTTACTGTAATAAAAAATTTTTACATAAAATTACATTTAAATTTAAATTAACAAATTAAACAAATTTTAAATAATTATTCTCAACAAGATAAAATAAATAATATTTCATTCATTTTATTAATTTAAATTTTTAATTTTTAATTTTTACAGTAAATTTTTTTTTAAAAATGTGACATTTATTTTTTTCAGTAAAAAGTTATCATACTACGTACTAACAGTGTTCTCTTATCCCTCATTTTGCAATAAATTATGTCTGTGTCCTTAGAAACACGTGTCTCTCTATTTCTCTTGTTCTCTCTTCTACAAAACACGTATCTTACCTTTTCCTAAATATGTTCCTGGGGAAGAGAGAGAGCTCTGCGTGGAAAAGAGAGAGAGAGAGAGAGAGGGGGAGTGGAGAGTGGTGAGCTGCATGGAAAAAGAAAGAGATAGAGTGGTGGGAGTGGGACCCATTTGAGAAAAGATAGAGAGAGAGGGAAAAGGGTACTTGACAAAAATCCAATGGTTCATATTAATTATTGTTTTTTTTATTTTGAATGTAATGGTCATGATTTTCCACATGGCTTATGCATTTTTTAACACCTCATAATAAAGCAGTCATTCACTGAAAACGACGTTACACACGTCAGTGTTACAAAATATAGACAAGTGACGAGGCACGGACAAAAAATATATGGATCAAAACTCTAATTATTACGATTAAAAATTTCGTTTATTTCATCGATTTAAATTTAAAATTTAAATTTTATTATAATAAAAAATTCTCATAATAATTATATTTAATTTTTTTACTGTAATAAAATTTTTTTACATAAAATCACATTTAAATTTAAATTAATAAATTAAACAAATTTCAAATAATTGTTCTCGATAAGATAAAATAAATAATATCTCATTCATTTTATCAATTTAAATTTTTAATTTTAAACTTTTACAATAAAATTTTTTTTAAAAATGTCACATTTATTTTTTTTAATAAAAAGTTATCATACTACGTACTAACAGTGTTCTCTTATCCCTCATTCTGCAATAAATTATGTCTGTGTCCTTAGAAACACGTGTCTCTCTATTTCTCTTGTTCTCTCTTCTACAAAACACGTATCTTACCTTTTCCTAAATATGTTCCTGGGGAAGAGAGAGAGCTCTGCGTGGAAAAGAGAGAGAGAGAGAGAGAGGGGGAGTGGAGAGTGGTGAGCTGCATGGGAAAAGAAAGAGATAGAGTGGTGGGAGTGGGACCCATTTGAGAAAAGATAGAGAGAGAGGGAAAAGGGTACTGACAAAAATCCAATGGTTCATATTAATTATTGTTTTTTTTTATTTTGAATGTAATGGTCATGATTATTCCACATGGCTTATGCATTTTTTAGCACCTCATATAAAAGTGGGAATGAAGAGGCCTCTTTTTCTTATATTTTGTACTTGGTTTATCAAATTTTGTTGTTTTTTTTTTGGGCTGCTCCGTTACGTGAGGTGGTGCATGCATATATAATGTGTATGTATGAGTATTGCCTTTATATGATGCATTGTGAAGCATGTTAAGTTAATGATATTTATATGCATTGCTAAACCTAATTGTAACTATAGTCAACGAAATAAATTAATTAACTAAAAAAATAAATTGTGCCTTTACCGTTGAAAATTTTGAACTTTAGGATTGTAAGATAAAAGTATAAGTACTAAGTTTTTACTTCATAATTTTTCATCAAACACCTTAAAGAATGTGAAAAATATACACTTTGAAAATATTTTTCCCATTATTCATCAATATTAATGTCAAATGTTCAACTTTTATTTCAAATGATCCGTAAATTTGCATGTTTATATTGATAAAAAAAAAAAGACACATTTTTCTCTCTCTCTTTCTCTCAAACAAAAATTCATATACTATGTAGCAGTCATTTTTAAATATAAATGCCTAAAAAACATTTAAAATATTATCAGAAATATAATAGATTCTTAATAACATAAAATGTCAAGATGATATTTGAATTTAAATAAAAATATATAATTTATTCACAGGACGCATGTCCAAAGGACGTGGATCATCACTAGTTCTTATCTAACAAAAGTCCAATTGCATTGATCAAGTGATTGTCCGGAAGGACCTGAACAAGATATAAATAAAATCAGCAAATAAACAATGGAGATTTTTATTTTTTGTTGGAGAAAAATAACGAGTCTAACTGGTCACACAAACTGCTACGTATAATGTGCTTAGCAAAATTTAGTTATGTAAATGCAAGGAAGGAATTAGAACAGTTTGATTCACTTTCAGTATGTCAGGAATTGTGAGGATATTCATAGAACAAGTTCCAAGCACAATAGCCGTGTTTAGAATTGATCCCACTTTTATTTTTCACGTTTTTTGAAAAAAATAAAAATGGTTTTAAAACGATGTTTGACGCAATAAAGATAAAAATAATAAAAATAATTTTTTAATTTAATGTAAAATGATAGAGAAATAAAAAGACTTATAGTCGTTTTTCATTTTTTATTTTTGTTTTCTCCTATCTCGAGCAGAGAGAAAAAGATAGAAACATTAATAAATTTTTTTTATATTAAAAATTATCTTTTAATAAAACTATCAAAAATATTTTTAAAAATAATTTATATTTAAGATTGAAAATATTTTTAATTTTATTTTTATATAAAAAATAAAATAATTTTAAAACGAGTTCTAAACGAGTCTAATATTTATTCGTAAGGTACGGGTCTTTTTTCCTTCACAATCCAAAACAGAATCTTTAGCTTTACTTTTTCTCCTTTAGTATCATCCTTTTTTCAAAAATAAAAAATATATTAAAAAAGACCCACCAATCTTAAAAAGCATGGCAATCTTCAAAACCCATTTAGTGCACTCAATGATTTGCATGGAATCATTCTTTTTTTTTTCTTTTTCTTTTTTCTCTTTTTACTATTCTACATAATCCATTTCCCACTCTATGATCTATACAATGATATTTCTTCACTATTCTTTAATAACCTATTCCCACTATCGACTATACGTACAAATATTCATATTTTTGAAGAAAAGAAACACACACACACATATATATATATATATATATAGCTCGAATATTATAAGCCTCCACGTTACTCAGTACTTGCCACCGTGTTTCTTCACCGCAGACCTGACGAACAACAAACAAACAATTAAAAACCCCAAAGCTGCAATCCCTCCAACGGCAATGGCCACAGTCCTCTGTGTATGATTTTTCCCTCCTGTCCCTACACAAATCAAGCCACATGGTATGCTAAATTTGACTTTATCTGCAACTTCATATGCAAGTATAGAGCTAAACATGCCCCCACCAACAATCCCAACCACATAACCTAAAGACTCGTTGGATTGCATTTTTAAGTTATAATGATTTAAATATAGATTTTGAGTTGAATTTAAGTTATAATTTAAATTAAAATTATAACTTAAATTTGTGTTTAATTATGTATATTTAAATTATGATTTGAGATGAGAATTTTTTTAAATTTGTATTTGAATAAGTCAAAACTTAAGTTTATATTTAAATAGTATTTTAATAAAAACTCAATAATAATAAAAAATTTTAATAAAATATATAAATAAAATTTTATTCATATTTTTATCGTGAATACATAAAAAAAATCATCTCAAATAAAAGACATGATAATACAACGCTCAGTCCCCACATCTCTTATTCAATCATTCTATCGAAAAGTACTGAAAACCGTCGATAAGCACCGTTATTAATAAAACTCATGTTGAGGACATAGGTGCCCTTAACATCGTTCAAAATTTAAAATATACCATTGCTCTTGAAAAAGTAGGTGTGAGACTTGAGTCTCACTAAATAAATATAATGACCGTTCATTTCGCTTATTTAAGTTTTATTATAATAAAAAATTTTTATAAATAATCACATTTAATTTTTTTATTATAATAAAAAATTCTTACATAAAATCACAACTCAACTTGAATTAAAATTCGAATTAACAAATTAAATGGGCCACATTTAGTTTATAAATTTAAAATTATTTTTATTTTACGTGTATTTTTTATAAAAAAAATATTATAAAAAATTATAAATCATGATTTATAATAAAGACGAATACAACAAATAAACACCTTCATTGACCAAATATATTCGAACCAAATAACGTGATCCAAGAAAAAACCAAGGTCGTTTTTCTGATTTATGACGTGGGTTCTATCAATATTCCCTGAAAACTAAGTTTAAAACCTTATATTACCAACCAAGTACCAAAAAATTTCCAAAAACGGAGATTTAAATTGCCCTTACCTTCTTTATCATCCGACGAGGAAGAAGATATCCCAGGAACTCCATTAGGGTAGTAGCTATAGCTGAGATAGCACTTCTGCAGATAAACTTGCCCAGAAATGCCGTCCCCACACTCATCACCAACTTTCTCCACGGCATTCTTCACACAATCCCCGCAATCATCGGGGCTCAAATCGCCCTCACACTGTCCCAAAACATACACAGATTGATAGCTCCCGGTATAAAACAAGCTGCTCCCGCTCTTCACGCCCTCCTCGACCATCTCAAACGCCGTGTTCCTCCGCTCCTCGAACCCCGTCCCTTGCGCCCGTATGGATCCGCAAGTCTTGTACAGCAGCTGGGTCCCCGACACCTGCTTGAACCCGGCAACCTCGTACCGGAGGTAGCAGCCGTGGAGCTGGACGCGGGCCGCCACGGCTCTGCCGCAGAGCTTGGCCGCGATGTCGGGGATTTTGGCGATGCAGCCGGAGCACTGGGCGGTGGAGAGGTCTCCTCGGCATTGGTACAGGCCGGTGATGGCGTTGGGGCCGTCGCCGGCGGTGGCGGAGGAGAAGGGCTTTTTGGAGGACTGGGGGAGGAGGGAATCGTAGAGGGATTTGAGGTTTTGGGAGTAAATTCCTGATGGGTCTTGGAATTTCTGGTCGGCGCAGCCCTTGTAGACGAGCTTGGTGTAATCGGCGGCTGGTGTAGTGAGAGAAGGGAAGGACGTTATGATGATGAAGAAGAGGTAGAGAGAGAGAGGGAGGAAAGAGAGAGAGTGGTCGGTGGGTGAAGGACCCATTTGGGGGAGGTGAGATTTTGCTTCAGATCATGGGTGGTTTTAGGGGGGGTTTGGAGATTGATTGATTATTATTTTTTTTTGTTTTTGTTTTTTTTTTTTTGGGTGAGGAGGAGGACATTCTAGAGTGATTTGATTTTGGTTGAAAAATGAGAACAACGGCGGAACTGTTTAGTTAATTGATTTTAATTTAAATTGAGATATAATTTTATGTGATAATTTTTTATTATATTAAAAATATTAAAATAATTATTTGTAAAAGTTTTTTATTATAATAAATTTTAAATTTTAAATTTGAATAAATGAACACACCGACGACGATGACTGTTTCTGTTTCTTTTTGCAATAAAGGAGCCGGGGCCTAAACCGGTGGTGTGTGCTTTATCACCTTTTCGGCGTTGCTTTTGTATTTATAACTTTGGGTGCCTTCATTAATTGCCGTGTTTTGTTGTTAATTCTTATTCTTCGTGTTTTGACACCAAATACAGTTTCGGTAATTAGCAAGTGAAATTTGAGTTGAAACTTATCAAAAACCTCTTTTATTGAATTTTTAAAATAAAAAATGACTCAAATATCCTTGAAAATTAGAGTATTTTACGCATTTAAGTCTTAAAGTTCTATAGTTTTAGGGTTTGTTCTTTTAGAGTTTAACTTGAGTATAATTTTTGAGTTGAATTTGAGTTATAACTTGAGTTGAACTTGTAACTTAAGTTTGTGTTTAGTTGTTTACATTTGAGTTATGGTTTGAGATAAGAATTTTTTTGACTTTGTGTTTGAGTGAGTCAAAACATGAATTTATATTTAGATAGTATTTTAATAAAAACTCAATGCTGATGAAAATTTTTAATATGGTATATGGGTCGGGTTTTATTCGTCTTTTCGTTGTCAACGCATATAAAAAAAATCATCTCAATCAGAATTAAAATGAAAAAGTTATAACATTTTTAAGAATAAAAAAAATACTGTTCATTAATTTGAGTTTGAGTTTCTGAACTCGAGTTGAAGGGGAAACAGAACTCAAGTTTTAGTCCTAAACTCGAGTTTGAACTTGAGTTTAAACTCGAGTTTAAACTTAAAAGAACATTAACTCGAATAAAGTTGTAACTCGAGTTGCATTTTTTTGAGTTTTTCACTCAAAATAACAAGCCCTTAATACCTTGTCTTTTAAACTTTTAATTTTGATAAGTTACTTTCTTAATTTTTAAAATTATTGCAATATGTATCATTTTGACGATTATTGTGTTAAATTAGTATCGAAATGATACGTTTTATGAAAAATTCTAACATCTTAATTCAAATGTAACAAAAATCTTTTAATCCTTTGAATTTAATAAAAATTTAAGCAAATTTAGTAAAATGGGGCGCATTACGACAATTTTACAAGTTTAAGTTGTTGCTTGTCAAAATTAAAAGTTTAAAAGGAAATTTGTTAAATCACAATAAATTTGGGACAATTGTGCTAAAAACCCTAAAAATTACATGGTGCTAAGGACACCGACTTTTATTTCAACTGTCACTAACAACATCACTACTCTATATATTGCGACTCTTTCCCTTATCTCACAATGACCACACCTTCTTCGGGTGCGCGACGACAAGGTTTCCCTCTTTATTTAACACAAAATTAGAGAGAAATCTTTAATAGAGAACAATGATCACCAAGGAGAAACCACATTAAGGAAACAAACAATCAGATAGAGAAATAACGGGTGTGTTTGGAACTCGTTCTAAAATGATTTAGTTTTTTGTATGCAAATGGAAATGAAAACGTTCTCAATCTCAAACAGAAATCATTTTTGAAAATGCGTTTGGTAATTTTATCAATAGATTATTTTCAGTATAAAAACCTCATTAATGTGTCTCTCTCTGTTTGAGAGAGGAGAAAACAAAAAAAAAATGAAAAATGACTTTTAATCATTTTTCATTTATCTTTTATTTTACACTAAACAAAAAAATCATTTTAATTTTATTTTTTGTCTTTAATTATGTCAAACGTTATTTTAAAATCGTTTTCATTTTTTCTTTTTTGAAAAACGTGAAAAATAAGAACAATTCTAAATACAGCAAACATTTCATATGTTCACCCCATGAAACAAATTAACACGTTGTTTGCATATGGAATTGGTTTGATTATCGATCATTTTAATATTGCGACGGCAACAACCACAGTGTCTATTTTTTGAAAAGGAAATAAAAGATAAAAGCTATTTCAAGTAAACGACAACATCTTTAACACCTCGGGCTTTAAACATTTGGACCGTTTTTAATGGGGAGATTTTTACAATTATTAATCCCCAAACATTAACCCTTTTATTTCTGTCTCTTTAGATTAAGCCCAGTCAAAAGCCCAATATATAAATTATTAAAATACCCTTAAAGATATTTACAAGATGTTGGTTGTCACCGATCGCCGGCCGGTGGCGAGTCTCTGGAGGCAGAGCTCCGGCGGCCATTCGGTGTGTCTCTGGCAGCCGTCCGACTTGTCTCCGGCGACCGTCCAGCGGCTCGCCGGCCATAATCTAACAGGTTACGCCAGAGTCAGTCATAGTTTGTCATCAGACTATGACCTATAGTCTCTCATATACTATGACCTATAGTCTCTCATATACTATGATCCATAAACTGTCAAATTATAACGCATAATCTAATAGGTAATGATGACCAGCGGGTCTCTGATCACTGGCCGGCTATAGTCTGTCAGATTATGACTTATAGTCTATTAAACTATGATCCATAGTCTTACAAGTTATGATGGTCGCTGGTCGCCGGCGCAGACCATAGTCTGTCAGACTATGATAGTTTGACAGGTTACGCCCACACCAGCCATAGTCTGTTAGATTATGATCCATAATTTAATAAGTTACGCCCGCCCTAGCTATAGTCTGACAGTCAATTTATCTCAAAACCAACATCAAACATCATTTACCAAATTATAATCAAATTTTTTACCTAAAAAATCAAAATTACTCTTACCAAGTACAGAAATTCTATACCGAAACAACAACAGATAACACGATATTTAATTTAAAAACTAAAAAAATGTTATTGCAAAACATGTGGACTGTTCTTGACTTCACAGCAGCTTCAATATCCTCCACTTCACCATCAACATCAACTTCTCCTTCCCGCAATTTCTTCCAGCTAATAACACACGCACACAAAGCTGAATTCAGCTTGATAGTCCCGAAAAAACCATCACACCATATAATAATCACCATGAAATTACATTAACGTAGCAGATTAGTTAAATCAAACTATGGATGTTGGCTACTTCATTGCCAAGAATAACACAAGTGTCGAGCAAAAACAGCACTGAATTTCAAGCAAAAATAAGAACAGTTTACAGACACATATATACAAACACGGGCATACATGTGTAATGCGTAACATTATACAAAAAGTTAGTATACTAATATCAATTTTGTAAGATCTATTGATGAGAACTGAGAAAACCTCACTTTGTACTGATTGGTTACAAGCTTAAGTCGTTTGAAGGTTGCAAGTGTCCACATAGGAACAACATCTGCATATCCTCATGAAGAAACCACTGAATTAGGCTAAATAGTGGAAACACTCTTACAGCGGAGGAAAAAATTAGTTTCCTTTCGCAGCATTTTTCTTGGCAACCAAACAGAAAGTGGAAAAATCTTTTCCTAATTCACAAATCTCAATCTGACAAATCAAGAAGGAAAGGTAAATAAAGAAAGTAATAAAAAGTCTCATTTAGGCTCTACAGCGCATGAAAATTTCCTAATTAATAATTAATATAACTTGCATATCTAATATCAGTTGCATGACTCTTTGAATGAAACTTGTTCCATCCATTTCTAACCTTTTATTTACTTAACAACATAAACAATGTAACACCCCAACGCTAAACCGGTTTAAGGCTAAATTTAGCGATATGGTGCTACTTAAAACATATTTTTTATACTTAAATCAATGTCATTTTTAAGATGTACAAACTTGTGGTTGATTTTATCACAAAATTTTCATAAAAGTTTTTGAACAAAATGAGTGAGTGTGCAAAATGATTACAACCACAAATCTTAGACATTAAACAGTTATTCAAAAGCGACATAGTAACGAAAAAAACATTTTGGGCCCCTTTATTATTTGAAAGTACATATAAGTAAGATACCAAATATAAGATTTGGAGTACTCAGCCAAGAAATCATTTTTTTTTACTCTTCGGTAACAACATCACTGCATCACAAGGTAAAGCTAATGAGCAAAAACTCAGTAAGTAGATTTCAAATATGTAAGTATCTAAAATCTCCGTAACTAAAATCTCTTTGTTAAACATTGTTCATAAACTTTCATACTTATTCTTAGTTTAGGTATGATACAAAACTTAAGTTTCAAGTAAGTATCTCTACACATGACCTTCTCTAATTTTGACCAATTTTCTTCTCTTAAACACTAAACGGGGTTTTTAGAATTTCTTTCTCTTGTGATCAACAAGAGATTTTCCACTAGCATTTTTCTCTAATTGTCTTAAAGAGACAGTTACTCTAATTTGGGGCACCGGTCTCCCGCAACCCTGCTTACCCAACCTCTCATCCATATACCATACCATAAAATTTCTTAAAACATAAAAGCATAATAAGCAAATATCATAATCTCTATCAAAATAATTAATCATGAATATCTTTGAACATAATCATATAAGAATTTCATAAGAGAATAAACTTGCATAAATCACAATTCTGAACAAGTTATTTCGTCAAATAGGTCTTATGATGCAGTTTTGAAAATACTTTAACTCTACTTACTTGAATTTCGATAACCACTTTACAAGCACAAACTAACTGGTTGTGGGAACCTTCAATGTGCTAATTAACCTTAAAAAAAAACATAGTTTTCAAAAATCACATTCATATCATCATTTAACAAAACACATAACTGTGCATTGTTACGAAAATGTTCATAACACATTCATCAAAACTCAAAATATTATGAGACCAATGGCAAATAAAAGTAGACTCAAAATCCTCATTTTAGAGCTACTACGTGATAGGTTTCAAATTTTTCAAACTAACCAAAAAAGCCCAAAATCCAGATTGAAGTAAAATCTCGTCAGAAAAATGACAGCTTTTTAGCTGAACTTATAAAGTTCATAACTAAATGTAGAAAAATCACTTAAAACTTGAGAT